CATATTGTCGTTGAATTTTGACTTTGTCTGCCTGTTTGACTTTATTCAAATATTCGACTTTTTCGTCAGTATTCTGTAATGCAGGACTGGAAAAGAGTTCAATATTTGTATCCTTCAAAACTTGAAAAATTAAGGTCTGTTTAATAAAACAATTACTAATTTTCCCATTTTGTAGTTGCTAGTACGGTGTCCTTCGTAATTCTAATTTCTTCTACCTTCTCCACAACATACTCCCTAAGAGTGCGATGGTCATACTCTTCTTCCTGTTCTTCTTCTTCGTCGCTATAAAAATGCGGAAAATATGTATTTACCGTTGATTTATTTACCATGATAATTTTCATACTTAATTGCGCACATCATTTAGTCTTTTGCGTCAAACAAGGAAAGGGAGTTAAAACCATTGAAAACACAGTACACAGCTGCGTTAAGGGGGTGCTAAAACGAATGAAAACACGGTACACAACTGCGTTAAGGGGGGGCTAAAACGAATGAAAACACAGTACACAACTGCGTTAAGGGGGGGCTAAAACGAATGAAAACACAGTACACAACTGCGTTAAGGGGGGGCTAAAACGAATGAAAACACAGTACACAACTGCGTTAAGGGGGGGCTAAAACGAATGAAAACACAGTACACAACTGCATTAAGGGGGGGCTGAAACGAATGAAAACACAGTACACAACTGCATTAAGGGGGGGCTAAAACGAATGAAAACACAGTACACAACTGCGTTAAGGGGGGGCTAAAACGAATGAAAACACAGTACACAACTGCGTTAAGGGGGGGCTAAAACGAATGAAAACACAGTACACAACTGCGTTAAGGGGGGGCTAAAACGAATGAAAACACAGTACACAACTGCGTTAAGGGGGGGCTAAAACGAATGAAAGCACAGTACACAACTGCATTAAGGGGGGGCTGAAACGAATGAAAACACAGTACACAATTATTAAGGGGGGGCTAAAACGAATGAAAACACAGTACACAACTGCGTTAAGGGGGGGCTAAAACGAATGAAAACACAGTACACAACTGCGTTAAGGGGGGGCTAAAACGAATGAAAAGACAGTACAGAACTGCGTTAAGGGGGGGCTGAAACGAATGAAAACACAGTACACAACTGCGTTAAGGGGGGCTAAAACGAATGAAAACACAGTACACAACTGCATTAAGGGGGGGGGGCTAAAACGAATGAAAACGCAGTACACAACTGCGTTAAGGGGGGCTGAATGAGCAAATATTAAAAACAACTATTCTTGAAATTTTTACCTCGGATGCTCGATCGCATAAAACCTGTTTCTTGCTATTGTAGTGCATGAACGGAAGCGGTTAACACGCCAGTTGATTGACCTACGAAACATTTATTCATAATTTTTAGTCATTTTTAATTACCATAAATGCAGGGCCCGTGAGAGGGGCGGGCAAGCCGGGCGGTTGCCCGGGGCGCTGAGGCGCCGGGGGGCGCCTAAGGGCGCCAACAATTACATGATTATATGCTAAGTAATTTATTAGCAATTTATAAGCGTAGTAAATAAATTTTTGGACCTGATTGATGTAAAATTGATCTTTTGAATCTAAAGCAATGAGTGATATTTTTCAGTTGCCTTTGAGTAAGCCATCACTGGTTTTTGTGGCTTAGATTTCTGTGGTTCTTGTTATCAAACCCCCAAAGCTTATTCGGGATTTTGCTTTTGTGGGATTTTTGTACGTCTTGACGCAAATTGAAATAAACTTCTTTAAACTATTACTTTAGTATTAATCAGTGATAATTAAATGTTCAGACTGGAATTTTGAACATTTTCATCCATGACATGAATTTTTAATTTTTTAATGAATTTTTTTGAATTTTTTGTTCTAAAATCTTAGATTCTTGAATAAATCAAATTTTTTAGCCCTGAAGTACTGGTTTTTAGAAAAATCCGGGTTCTTTTCGAAAGTTGCCTTTGAGTTTAATATAGCAATACTCTCGACACCTTTACACAAAAGCACGTGCGCGAAAATTCAAATCCTTTTTCCCACTCACAATGCCACTGTTTAAAATGAAAAATTCAGATTTACATTGGAGAGGAGACTCTCCTCTTGTCATGTTTTTTGTACGGCTAAAACCGGGATTCCCGATTCCCGGGATTTAAAAAATCGTCCGGGATTGGGATCCCTAGAGGAGACATGCCTTCAGTGCCCGTGCGACCCCAAATATTGACCCGGGCAAAATATATTTGAGCGCCCCTAATTTTCCTCAAATTTGTCTAATATGGTTCGTATATTTTATGCAAATAATTTTTCCCAGCCGCGAAAAGCTTTAATCGTATTTTAAAATCGTCTAAGAACCAATAATTCGACTTTTAACGAGCACAGCGAGAGAAATCAAATTGGAGGTCTTTTATATACATTTAAAATCCAGAATGGACCAATTTTACTTTTTTCATTAGAAAAATAAGCCTTCCCAATGTTGTTGCATTTCAGAATTCGCTGATTTGAGTCCAATGCTTTCATTTTAAATTGCTTTCTAGTCAAAACATGTAGCTTTTTAAATTTTGGAACTTTTCCAATTTGAAAATTTCGAAAAATGTTGATTGGTTACTTGACTATGGTATTACTGCGGGTTAGGCGAGATTATAGAACATGTAGCTATTTGCCCATATACGCTAAACAATGGCGCTAATTCCAAATATTGAAACTTATCTGGAAGCTCGGTTCAAGCTGCGTCGTGACCCAAAAACTCAACTTAGAAATTTTGTAAAGGAATCCAAAAATGGACCCCAAAGAGCTCCATGCTGTTAAAACAGTTTGCCAAGCAATAATGACGTACAAAAAATACTAAACCAACTCTAGGATGAAAAAATTATCATTTCTAATGGCCCAATGTCTAAAATAAAGGATTCAGTTGAAAAAAGGAACCAGGCAAGAAATTTTATGGTGCCACACTCGTCGAACGCATACCCCCCGAACTGGAAGAAACCCGACGCTCGTGAGAAAAATTGATGTGGAATTGACTAACTGAAACGCCAACATTGGCTTCAGATCGACACTTTTTTTCAATTGGACATACAATTTTTTTTATGCCTTTTGTAATCTTTTAGATGAACAGTGGTTCAAAGAAAATCAGCTGCTGGCTTTAAAAGCCCGGCTTTTTGGAAATGATAACTTCATTCCTCATGAGAAAAGGATGAGGAATACGGTGAAATCATTCAAAATATCCAGTAACGAATATTTCGCCCAGAAATTAATAGTTTTCGACACGTTCTATAATCTCGCCTGACCCTCAGTAGAAATTCGTCCGCAATATTTTTTGGAAATTTAAAAGTTCACCAGAGTTTGCTTTTAGAGATTTCATAAACTTACAAAGCTATCATTAATTTAAAATTTCGCTAAAGCTGGATTTTTATTAATCAAGGATTCAATTCCTTCTACAGAAACATGTTTTCGAACTTTTTAACACACAGTAAAATTCGAAAAGTTCAAGGGTTTTAAAATCCCCGAGGTTTTGACTGGAAAACTTTTTACAATTCGCACCTTGATAAAATAAAATTCATCCAATGTAAATCTGAATTTTTCATTTTAAACAGTGGCATTGTGAGTGGGAAAAAGGATTTGAATTTTCGCGCACGTGCTTTTGTGTAAAGGTGTCGAGAGTATTGCTATATTATTTGCATAAAATATACGAACCATATTAGACAAATTTGAGGAAAATTAGGGGCGCTCAAATATATTTTGCCCGGGTCAATATTTGGGGTCGCACGGGCACTGAAGGCATGTCTCCTCTAGGGATCCCAATCCCGGACGATTTTTTAAATCCCGGGAATCGGGAATCCCGGTTTTAGCCGTACAAAAAACATGACAAGAGGAGAGTCTCCTCTCCAATGTAAATCTGAATTTTTCATTTTAAACAGTGGCATTGTGAGTGGGAAAAAGGATTTGAATTTTCGCGCACGTGCTTTTGTGTAAAGGTGTCGAGAGTATTGCTATATTAAACTCAAAGGCAACTTTCGAAAAGAACCCGGATTTTTCTAAAAACCAGTACTTCAGGGCTAAAAAATTTGATTTATTCAAGAATCTAAGATTTTAGAACAAAAAATTCAAAAAAATTCATTAAAAAATTAAAAATTCATGTCATGGATGAAAATGTTCAAAATTCCAGTCTGAACATTTAATTATCACTGATTAATACTAAAGTAATAGTTTAAAGAAGTTTATTTCAATTTGCGTCAAGACGTACAAAAATCCCACAAAAGCAAAATCCCGAATAAGCTTTGGGGGTTTGATAACAAGAACCACAGAAATCTAAGCCACAAAAACCAGTGATGGCTTACTCAAAGGCAACTGAAAAATATCACTCATTGCTTTAGATTCAAAAGATCAATTTTACATCAATCAGGTCCAAAAATTTATTTACTACGCTTATAAATTGCTAATAAATTACTTAGCATATAATCATGTAATTGTTGGCGCCCTTAGGCGCCCCCCGGCGCCTCAGCGCCCCGGGCAACCGCCCGGCTTGCCCGCCCCTCTCACGGGCCCTGTGTGCATAGAGCGATATAAAGACAACTTTTACCTCAACTTTTGCATGCATCATACATATTTACATATTTCCATGCTGTACGACGCGAAGGAACAAAGTATAAAGTTACATAACGCAACGTTCACATGATGGGCCGTACATAGAGCATGTGATCGATTTTCAAGGAGTTTTGACCCATACATCCTCGTGCCTCCATATTGAAATTACTATTGCAAGGTTATGTAGGAGGCCTTAACCTCTATCCCACCTCAAATCAATCGCATGCTTTTTGCATAGTCCCATACAGTATCCCGCCACATACCGGCACATGTGTAGAAAAAGGTGTACAAAACTCGACTGTACGTATTTTTGTACATATTGGACTGGATATTATTTAACCTATAAATAATGTGAATACCAAGAAAACTTGGAAAAGAGAAAGGTTAATAAACCACCATGTACAACGTTTTCCTGACGTATTTTCAACATTCTTTACTTCAGTAGCGTCCCTGCCGGCGAGCTTAACGGTCATCATGTAACAGAGCTGGCAAAAGGTTTGCGGCATGGCGTGTCAAGAAAATGGTGAGAAAGAATCTATTTAAATAATTAAAATATAGCACACTTAATTCAATAAGGTAATTAATTACATGTTTATTTAATTCATAGATCCTCTGTCGTGGTAAAATTTGAAGAAGCTAACAGCAAAATGAAGTTTCCACGATGTAAGTTTTATCAAATTTTACATTTTTATAAAATACGTAAAAATGTGAAAAACAACATCACGGTTTGTTTGAATAAGTTGCATATTTTACTTCTACATAAATAGGTTTCAATATTTGATCAGGTCAAAAACTTGATTGGAATCGTGCAACATTGTTGTAGGCAAATTGCTGACTTACATGTTCTCAAGGTACATAATTACTACTTCTCAAGTCACCATGAAACATTTTATCACGTAACTTGTATTGTAAAATGCATAAATAAGTATATATAATCTGCCGATTATCAAATTAGTAACGACGATTTAGTTTATTTGGATTGACAGGAAACCGGAATGGAGTCTGATCCGAGGTACATGTTTATTACAAATTCAAATTGGCCCAGCAGCAATTACACCGACTTCTCGACATCACCTTCAAAAAGTTTGTAAAGTGATTGGAGTTCATCTTTAAGTTAATTGCTGCTCAGCATCTTCAGGTTGATTATTAATAATAATTTAGATTAGAGGATGGTTCAGTACTAGGAGCAAATAATTGTTTATTTTCGTCCTTAAAAAACGCCCATACTCTTACATATTTACTTACAATCAGATTCCAATTAGTTGACAAATATGTAAGTTTATTTTATTAACGGAAATGTATTTATTTAGAAATTTTTGACATAAAATGTGACGGAGTTTTTTTTAATCCGGTCTTGCGTAAATGCGTAATATCAAAAACTGGGAATATCTGTAAGTTGGTTGGAGATTTGTGTCATCATTTTAATGAAAATGACCTCATATTTCCGATTCAACTTTATAATTTTGGCGTGGAAAATGATACGTTAACATTTTGTTAGTCATAAAATATTCTAAAGAAATGAGAATTATTTACGTCGAGTCGAAATTGGGATAGATTTATGTACTTGAATGAAAAGTATGCACTATGCTACCAACTCAAATTTGCATATGTACGTAAGGTTAGGTTTACGCGAGTTATGAAAACTTACAATTATGAATTCATGCACTCGTACTAAAACATAATTGTTTAGACCAATTAAATCTTACCAAAATTCACATGACCTTTGTTCGGTCATGTGAATGGTTAATTAGTAAGTAGTCGTTAGATATGTATGTATCTGGTCATCGGTAAATATGCATCAGATTCACTTTAATTCCGAGAAATCGCACAAGCAATTGGGAAAATTGCGTTCAAAACTTATAAATATGTTATCCAAGCAACATTACTTCTAGAAGTTATTGATAGGCACGTTGTGATGATGTTACTCTCTTTTTGTAAAATGTGTGAGCTAGCCGGAACATCAACCCTTCCAGTAAAGCAAGTCGAAAAATTCAGGTTCTGGATCTGAATTTGCGACGAGAAATATAAATATTGCGATTTTTATATCACTAAATAGTTAATACTTTCATCCTTAAAGACAGATGTAGTCAGTTATATTTACTCCATACTGATTTTCTGTACTTTTTATCCTCGCAACTGAATGAATTATTTTTGTAGGTTGTAGTTAATTCATTAATTATTTCTGATTCTTTTGAAGGAAATTCTAACTCGGAATGTTCCGTGGACAGGTGTAATTGTGCCATTGACTTTAATTAATACACAAATTAGGGAGTAGGGAAAAATGTATTTAGAAATTTAGGTACTTCACGTCAATAATGAAGTAAACTTTTTTCACACTTCGTGGCCGACGGGCTAAAAATTATGGGGTCTCCCATGAAAAATTTCCGCAGTACGTGCATAAACAACTAAATACTGCTTTGGTGATTTATTTGCCAAAATTTGTATGTACAAAATAATATATTTATGACAGCAAGATGCCTGCGGTAATGGCATTGGTATTCAAAAAATTGAAAATTATTATTGACTAGATTTCAATCTACGAGTAGGTTGAATTTCAGTATGCGAGACCATTTGAATTCGTGGTGACTGTGAACGCTACTATTTTTGGTAAACTATATTACCTATGTAGACGAACGTGAATCCTTCCATTAAAGCAAAAGTTGCTAAAGTTAGGTTCTGGATTTGAATTTGCGACGAAAAATATAAGTATTGCGATTTACCTCGGTTTAATTTTTTGCACCTTTGATTTTCTTTAAAAAATAATTATTTGTATACTTTCTAAATAGTTAAGTCTCAAATAATATGATATTTATTCATTGTTTCTAAATCTTATCAGGGAAACTTCTATCTTGGAAAGTTTAGTGGACAAGGGTAATTGTGCCATTGACATTTGCATACATAATTAATTAACAATCTAGGTGTAGATACGATAAAAAGATGTAGAAATTTATGTAGGCACTTCATTTCAATAATGAAGTATACTTTTGAAACACTTCGTGGCCGATATGTTAAAAATTATGGAGTCTCCAGTGAAATATTTCTATCGTAGATACACGAATTTTAAATTGGTGATTCAATTTTTTTTTACAAATTTTGTGCAAATAGATGAAATGTGATGCCTAAATATAAAAAAATATAACAGGTTTATGATAGTAAGATGCCGCAGGTAATGGCACTTCAAAATTTTGGAAACTCTTATTAATTATATACATGTACATATCTACAAGTAGGCTCGGTTTCAATTTTCGCGAGACCAGATAAATGTTGTGGGCTTAAAATGTTGAAGAAAACGGAAATTTCTTTAAATTTCCTGGATTTTACGTCTGTTTAAGTGGTACTTGACCCACATGCGTGTGTAAAAGTTTTGTGGGATCATTGATAATGTATTTTTGAAAAATAATTTTTCCCCTGGTAAAGGTCAGGTTTCTGTTTGAGTTTGATTCTTGTTAATTGTAATTATTTTTGTCACTTTTTGTAACAATGGCAAAATAATTGTCGTAAGATTCCAATTACCCCATACCCCAAAATTATAATTGAGATGCATAATTGAAAAAATCGAAAAAAAAGAGTTGTTAGGTTGAGTCTCTGGTTATATTAATAATTACTGTTGTGAACTTCATTCACATGAAAATCCTAGTCCGAAGTATAGTAATATAGCAGAATTGTTTAAAAAAGTGCATATTTTGCAAAATTATTTAAATATTTATTATCAGTTGGTCAAAGCGGGTATGTCGATGACCACTTCCACTTCGTAGAATAGTTCCCACTTTTGTAAAACAATGATGCTCAATAATTTTAATAATAATAGGTCATGATTAATTTTATTAGGTTAGGTTATTTATTTATAAATTATAATTTGTACTTGAGGAATAATTTTTGGACTTAAATTTACAATTAAGTTGAAATGTATGTGTATAATTTCAGTATAAAATATGTAACTATGCATAGAAATATTCCCCCAACCAGAAGTTTAACGATGAAATAACATTAATTCATCTGCGTTGAATCACGGTGATCGTGTCAGTGTTTTCAACGTCCCACGCACCGTGCATTTCATGGTAATCGCACAGTGACTTCACCGTTACTTACACCTTGAATCAACGTTAATGCACGGTAAAATTTATGTGCATGGCACCTTATATTATCTTTCTGTCAACGTTAATCGCACGATGGTATATCGTAGGTTTCTCGGTGATGCACTGTTAATTGAACGTTCATTTTGCAAATATTTATATCCAAATATTTTTATTTCAAAGCTTACTCACAACAAAATAATACATAACAATATAAACTATGTGTAAATATACATGTCAATTATGATTAGTAATCTATTCTTCACATAAAGGAACACAAATGTAACTTGATTTTTTACTACATGCTATGGGAAACAACATTACCTTATATTTTATGTCAAATTCATTAATTAACTTTGAAGTGAATGAAAGATCTGTTACTTTACAGATCATAAATTTTGTCGATTTACATGGATCTGTAAAATAATCAGACTTTCCCTTAAATTTACGTATACGAATCTTTTGTCCCTCAATAGAAATGACTACAACAATATCATTGTTTTGTAAAATAAAGCCTCGATCTCTTGGTTTGTCGGAAATTTTAAATTGTCTGGAGATTGTCTCAATAATTTTTGCATTCTCTTTAACACGTTCTTTTTCTCCTATACGTCTTATCACCTGTGCTAAATGATTGCTATTACCTCGTATCATTCGCTTGATTGTTTGCATATCGTTTTCAAACGCAAACGCATTAATTGTTTCTAACGAACCAAAAATGTCTGCATCATCAGTGATATGAACTAAAGAGTGAACATTATACACAAGAAATTCCTTGCAGTATAGGGTAGACATATCTTTACCAAATTCAAAAAATAAATGTCTTGCAAATGGATACCAAGATCTGTTGTTAGAAAGCAAAATTCTGGTCGCAATGCTAAGCTTTAAAAAATGTTTATATTTTTGGGGGCTCAGAGAATCTTTCAAAACTACTGGACCATAGTACAATAGGAAACTCCTAAATTCTGTGGCTTTCCAGAATTCTAATTCTGAAAGAGATCTCGGTCTCCTATTGAATTCTGAGGCTGCGTATTTGTTTAATCTAACTAACTTTTCAGAAATTATTAAAATTGTTTGTCTCCCTTCTCTATGGGGCAGAGGTCCACTTTTCCAACATTTTAGTAGTTTTTTTACTACACCTAAACAAATAAGGTGCATGTAGTCAAGCACCACACAACTGACTAAACCAAAATTTAACGGAACTAAAGGGGAAGTTCCGTGGTGGTGGAGTTTATCTAGCTGGTCGTTAAAATCTTTGTCTGTTCTAAGTGGGGAAGAAAATTCATTGAATACAACTCGACCAAACCACGCACCTTTTAATGTACAACGGTCACATCCATGGAAACCATTAAAAGCTGCAGTCTGCTTTACATAATTACGAGCCGGCGCATCAGCAATGATACACCGTAGCCTAACTCCAAGATTAACACCATAAATATTTACACCTTTCGCTCTTAATTCTAAAAATTCATTAACTAATGGCCCCAAAAACTCAATTACATCTATGGGCTTAGATTGTTCGCCGTAATATAATCCAATCAAAAATGGGATATTATTACTTATGTGAGGACATCGACCAAGAATAGGCCAGAACTGTTTCTTACTACTTTTACTAATAGGAACGCCATCAATTCCTATCGTTATTGAGAAAAATCCCTGCTTTGACAATGTACAAAAACTACTATCAGACACTACTTGCAACTTTTGACGTAACCCAAAATGATAATAATAACCACCTGCTATTGTACAAATATTATAGTTTGTTGGAGTTCCTAGTAAAGTTTTATATGATTTTGGCAATTTGGAACTAGGGAACTCCTCACTCAAAACATTTAATAAACTATTCACAGCAGTGGAGGTAATATTATTTTCTACTGCCCATTTTGCTAATTTATCCTTAATACTCAAATTACTCATATCGTGCTCTAATAACTTATCTGAACCTAAGCATATCCCGTTGGCATAATCAGAATCACAAACTAATTGTAACTCAGATAATGAATCATTAGAAATTACTGGCTGACCTAACTCTACATCTGGTACATCTGGTACATCAGTTTCCATTTCACTTAACATTAACTGTACATTACTTTCTATCCTCCGATATCTTGTCCTGTCAGAAGCCATATTAATTTTTTACACGATCTAGACTTAAGATTAATTAAATTAGCAAATTAACTTATTCTTCAATTATTCATCAGACGATTTCTTCTCCGGTTTCCGGCAAAATCGAAGCTTATCCATTATGATTGATTTAATCTCTAAATCATCCGGCACCGTGACTAGTTTTCTGTTGCGTTTCACAGCAG